TTTTTAACTCGTGCTCAGCCAATTCGGCAGTTTTCTCCTTTCTCCTCTTGTAAGGAAGTTCATAACCTCTACTGTACATTCTTTATTTTATGTTTTGTTTGGAAAACCATTTGAAGACCCTTCAAGATCCTCCTCAGTCAATTTGGTAGTTGTTTTAATCCTTTTTCACATGTGCTTTATTATACTTCATAGCACTTTTTTATTTCACGTTTGTAAAAATCTTTTTAAGCTCTTCTTATTCAGTCAATTTAGCAGTTTCTTATCCTCTCTAGAAAAAAGATACTAATCAATCCCTACACAGGATAAAAGATTAAAATGGAACTTCCAATTTAAAGAGTTCGGAAAATCTTTCCCAACGAAACGTAAAACAAATTAATGTACGAATCGCAAAGTTCAATAAAGCCCGAAAGAGAAAACCTAAAAAAACGGCCAAATTATCTGAGAAAGAGGTTGGATGAGCTTAAGAAAGCCGTTCCATTTTAATGTGCAATACAGATTGAAAAAAGCGAGGTTAAGTTTAATAAAGCACGAAGAAAAAAGAATTTACAAAAACTGAAAAAATTCGCTGAGGAGGATCATGGAGGAGTTCGTAAAGGTCTTCCCGACCCAACCTGCAATAAATTATTTAAAAAAATATTTCTGAATTAAGTGAATTTTTGTTAATTTGATTATATGAACATACACATATGTTCAAATAATCAAATTTAAAAAAATTCACATAATTCAGAAATTTTTTTAAATAATTAATTTCAGGTTATAGGTTTAGTTTTCAGGACTTTGAACATTATAATTTTTTTTCTACTGAATTAAGCTGACTGACACAACACGGCATAAAAACAAACAGTTTCGCAACACTCACAAGTCGTGAGGGTTTAGTCTAGCTCGCAAATTTTACGAATTCGACTTTTTCGTAAGTTGGTTTTCATAAATGGTGGTGACCCAGGACGCTCAGTAAATTACATCAACTTAATTAATGTTTAAATCGGATTCGACGATGACGAGCACTTGAGATTCAGAAAGCAGAGGGAACTATTGGTTGGTCCGCGTTACGCTTTGAATGGCACCCAACAACCGTGATATTTTTTTTTTAATTTAATGCAATTTTTGGAAGCAACAGATGCTTAGAATCATAAAAAAGGTTTAGACTTAAAATGCATTCCGCCATTCATGAGAAGACCCGTGGTAAACGAAAGTAAACCAAAGCGAATATTTTTACTGCATGCCTTGTAGGTTTTATCCAATTTTGTGCCACATTTTTATGAAATGACGTAGATATTCATTTCGGGAAGATTAGACAAGATTGAGCTTTGAACGTAGGTTGCCAGCCATCGAGCTTAATGGGCCAAAGTAAACAAAATTTAAAATAATCACAAATTATAATCCTGTCGAAATTTACATGAATAAATAAACGTGAAGTCATATTTGTGAAAAAAAAGTTAAAACCTTCTAGCAAATACAGTGGTTCGTTTTGTAGAAACGACCCCCCGGCTGTCTTCGATATTCGGATGAATGGATTTTAGAACGTTTCTCCCATTTAGGTTGGTCGACGAACGGCTGTGTGCCTTTTGTTTTCGCAAATGACTTATTTGATTTACAAGACTCATGAACGCACATGTGCGATTGACGTCTGCGCCCAGGATATCATTCGCGTTATCGAGTAGCGGCATGCCGCATATTACCACTGCATTCCATGAATAATTAAAAATTTATATTTTGTAAAGTATGTGTGTATACATTTGAGGAACAGTTCATGTGTAAAATCATTACGTTTAGATCATATCATGGTTTTTGAAGGGAGAACACTCATGTAATAACATTTTAAATGGTATAAAAAACCAATATTACCATCGCCATTTACTTTACTCTATAAGTTGCTTCAAAATTAAAAAAATATAAGCTAATAATAATAAAAATATAAACAAATAACTTTTAAACTTGCTTTTTCTAGTGGTAGATTTTTATAAAGTCCATTGGTATTACCTAGTCAGATTTGTGTCTCCATAAAGTTTTTGTTTTTTTAAATCGGTTGATATGCTTGCAGAAGCAAAACCACAGTAAAGGAGTAGAAATTGACAGTGATTATCTGAGGATTGGCAATTCGGAAACCCTCGATAACGACCCTAGTCATTCGAAACATTTCATCTGATCCACTTGAAATTTCTACTTTTCTTCTCAAAAACAAATCTGCGTTATACAATAACCACAACTGAGTTATGTTTTTTCTATGCATAATTAATAGCCCGGTATAGTTATTCTTATTTGGAGCATAAGTAGTTTTGCACTGTAAGCAAAAACGCTTCGAATAGTGTTATGACTAAGAATTTATCAGCTCCCCTTACGGTATACAATATTTTATTGGACTTCCAATCCGTTTATAACCAAACGGGAAAAACATAAAATTTGAACAATAATATTCTAGTTAGATAGTAGACAATTTAACGCTAACATTTAATGTAACGATTCTTGGATGGTTTTAGTCGATATGCCAAAGTTGTTTAACACTATCCGGAATAATAGTATGGTCAGTAGACTGATGGAATATAAATAAAAATAGTCTACCCCTCTTATCAGAAACTATTCAGAGTTTCCTTCGATCAACTTATTACCAACAGAACGACATTATTATCGGTATTTGAAGGTTTTATCCTTGAATCCATTTTTTTTGTATATTTTTAAAAAAACACCTTACCTAAAGAATGTAAAAATGGTTCTTATGCTTACGCTATCATTTGCATTCCTGTGTACATAAATGAAAGCCTGATAATGCCCGTTCAGTTTGTTTTCATGCATTGACTATAACCCACTACCAGTCAGCCCGGATAGAAAGTGCTGGCATAAAAACTTCCCTCTCTCCTATCACTTATGTAGAAAATTTTTAGTTCTAATACGAACTTCTCTCTCCGAACTACACGCCGTTGTTGCTCGCCGACGCTAAACTTAGACCTATCCTGTTTCTTGAATTAATATAAATATTTTAACAACATAACTCGCTTAAAGAATGTCAGTGGCTCTGATGTTGGCCCTATCATCTGCATTGCTCTCGTCATAAATGAAAACTTCATAATGCCAGTTCAGTATGCTTTCATGTAATGTTTATAAAACACTACCTAATTAATAGACGATAATGGTGTGTAACTTCCCACTCTCCTATTTCGACACAATTCCTAGTTTCCGTCCGATCATTTCTCTTCCAACTGAGCGATGCTGATGTATCTCAAGGCTATATCCTTGGACTCATCCTGTTCCAATTATATATAATTTTTTGACAATCAAACAACCCCGTCTCCCTTGGAATACTCCTAAATTTTAAAAAAAAACTTGTCAGGAAGGGAAAAATGTAAAAATATATATAATTCACTATTTGTCGTGGTCCACTTGACCAATTAATAACATGCAATTAATTAAGGTTTTCTAAGTTGAGATAAAAAAAGTCAGTGCCACGAGAGGGATTCGAAAAACATTTGAAAAATGGTAAAAAGGAAGGAAAATTCAAAAGGTGGGGTTGAGATGGGAAGTTAGTGCCCGAGAGGATCGAAGTCAAGATAGCTCAAGTGGTAGAGTAGCAGCGTATTTAGCCGAACGTCGTGGGTTCGAATCCCGCTCGTGACACTGACTTTTTTATCTCAACTGAAAAAACCTTAATTAATTGAATATATATAATGTACATTTTAACAAAACACTTCGCCCAATGAATGTAAAATTATCTTTTATGATAATGCCATCAAATGTGTCTTTATATTATTTTGTCGTCCAAAATATCGTTGATGTAATTGATAAATAAAATAAAAAAATAAAATAAATGTTTTGTCGAAAAATAAGTCTAAAAGGGTGAGCTCTTCCCGGGGGCGGCATTGGTCGGCTCGCACGGGTTTGGCGGGTGGTGTCGCCGGCAACACGGAACCCTGGCCGTATGCATCAAAGCAAAAAAAAAATGGTTCTAAAAAGAGTCTAATTTTTAAGTTTTAGAATAAATCCACTGGTTAATTATTTAATTGTATTCATCGTGATCGTACGTATTCATCTTTTTAATTTTTTTTTGTACACTGTTTAGTCACTGTTGAAGAAATAGCTAAACTATTTAACATACAATATGAGTTTCTTGTTTAAAAGGTAAACTTCCGTCTCGTAATCCATAATTATTACAGAATTTTTCCGGCACGACACACAGGTCCGTATTACAACGCTCATAATTAATTAGTCGTTAATTTTAATTTCAACGGAATCGGACTTGTTTCCCGTGAAATATTTATCATTTGGATTATACATTAACTCGACAAGAATTAAGTTCGGTCAGTGCACCCGGGAGTGTCTGCATCATTATTAAATGAAACACCTTTTTCCTAGTACGTTTGGTTTTATTAATTTGAATTTGAGGAGCATTCTGAGATAAAAAGCATTCTTATCAAGAAGGAACTGGCAATTTTCTAAATTAAATTTTACTCTGGATTGAAAGGATTATTATTTAGATAAATTTATAAATAATAATTCTATAAATCTTAACACTATAGGTTTATTAGTCTTAGGTTTTATGAAAGAGGCTTAAGAAAATGAAGACATTTTAACTTATGTAAATCTATGCGCATGAAATTTACGCAAATAGTCAAACGTACGTATACGAAATGTTTGCGTAGATATTTGCTTTATATTGTATCTATGCAGTCTCTTATACGAGTAGAATCTATCAATATAAAAAGAAGAAATATCCTCACCAGGAGACCATTGTTCATGGAACGAATCATGGGATAAAATAAACAAACGTTCATATCCCTCTTTCTCCCTCCATTCAATCAGGGCAGTACGATCAGAAGGCACTGTTTCTCCACCTTCTAGGATTTTAAGTAATTCACGAGAAAATAAGACTTTTTTACTGTTTTCACCCATGAGAGAGGAGCGTGAAATTTAATTTCAATCCAATTGGAACTGCCCTCAGAAACTGATTATTTACGCAAGATGCAAAGTCATTTGGGGGGGGGAGCTAAGATGTAAAAGTAATTACTTACCTGTAAAGGGGTATCCCAGCATCTTCCCGGAACCAGAAAACCATGTAAACTTTATCGTGACCGGGCGGCGTTACATTGCAGGGCAATTCAACGTTTTTCCCCTCCACGGCCTCCACCAGCTCAGTTATAACTGAAACAAAAGATTAAGCTGTTAAATTTTACCAAAAAAAATCAAAAACACCAAATAGAATTAAAACATTCTCCAAAATTTTGTTATTCTTCCCAACAGTAAAGTTACAGTTCGAATCCATATTTTATTATCTACGCAGTTTGCTTCAACATGTATTGGTATATATAATATAAAGGTACCGGATAATGTAGAGTGCCTATCCTCGCTGGATTGGTCTGTCAGACGTGTTCTGGCATTTCGCCATCTTCAGTGTAATTTCTGGGCTTAACCAAGCGTGGAACACACGAAGAAATCTCACGACATATAGCTTTTTTCTGACAAATTAACACTTTTTAAATTCAAATTAATCATTTTCAATTTCAAATCAACGCTTTTTAACTCCAAACAAACCATTTCATTTCAAATTAAACGTTTCCAATTTCAAATTAATCCTTTCTTTAAAGCGTTAAAAAATATAAGGATGTGAATGTGATTCTTCTGTGAATTACAATAATTAATTAAAGTGATTTTCCTGTTTATTTGAGATGTTTTAAATACAAAACAATTACGCTTTTACAAAATGTAAAACTATATAAAATTAAACGCATATCTTAAAAGATTCTTCCTTTAAATTAAATTGTGTTTTAAAGTACAAAACTCGTTTTTATATTTAATACTTAATGATGATAATATAAAATTAGTTCTTGCAAAAAAGTCACATGAAAATGGATTACAATTAAATTATAAATTTATATAAAATTAAGTATAAAAATAAAGTAGTATTTTTTATTTAAGAATTTGTTAACAATATTAAATGGGTTCTTATTTAAAATACCACATGAAAAATTATTTAAAATAAACAATAAATGTTATTTAAAGAATAAGAAGAACTTTCATACTAATTGTATATTTTTAATTTTAGATTGTTTTAAAATATGAAATAATTGGCCTAAATAATAAAGTACAATGCAGTGCCAAATTAGGTAAAAAACTGGTATGGATTTACATTAGTATGTTGTAATCTACGATAAAGATACATATAGTTTGAAATAAACAACAAAAAACATCCGGTGTCCAGTTGTTTTTTGTATTTGAATGTATGTATGTAAAACATGATAAATGGTATATAATACAGGATATGTACTAATTTGTATTAGTTTTCTTGCCTTTTAATACTCTATGATGCACACAATCAAATTAATGTTTCGCATCCGAAAATACAAATTACTCGTTTAAAACACCCTAAAACATTACTGAAAGAGTAAAGTTTTAACGTTAGTGCTTAAACATAAAGTACAGGCTCTCCTGAATGTGAAACATCTACCAAAATTAATTTCCATCGAGTAGTATTAGAGTTAAAAATGAAAACAAACTGTTCGTACGAAAAATAGTCGTTACCCACTTACACATTCATGAGCATAGAAATTTATTTTGTTATAAAAATAAAGCTGAGACATTTTATCGCCACTACTCTTGATCACGGTATTGTCTTAAAGAAGAAATCCAGTTGTTACTGCCAAGCTTTCGACCTATTTTTGGGTTATACTCGTCTCAATCCTTGGAAATGTTGGGACTGAGTCGGTCTTCATAGTAATAAGGGATCGCTTGTAAAAAACATAAATACGTCAATCTCTGTATATATATATATATATACATATATATATATATTTGTTTTGCCGCGATTATGGGGGGGGGGTCGCAATGTCTTTTAACACTGAGGTTCTTTAACGTGCGCACCCGGCACATCGGCCTTATCACACGTTTAGATTCTCGAGTTAGAAGCTCACCTCCGCGCACGGAAAATATGCTTAAACCGTGAGGTTCGGTGAAGCCCACATGTCATGCTGCTGCATTCTGCCGACATGTCGACTTCTCCCGCTTGCCCCTTCCGACGGGGTGTGTTAACATTGTGCAGTCAACCGTGTGCCGCGCGTAAAGGGATACCCAAAAGGGGTCGATATGCATCGACCAAGTCTCCCGCGCACTCCCTAGATAGGGAAGACAACTCCCTGGGTGTAGGGGCTCCGCTAGCGTCGAAACCTCCGGATAGGCTCCAACCGCGCTTTCGATTTAAGTGGAACATCTAACCACCACCTAGTGGAGGCCATGCTTTCGGTAAAGGAAGACCAGACGGCACCACCGAAAAACATCCGCCTCCGTCCACCATTCCTCACGCAATTATGGGACTCCGTCAGCTCAGACAGCCTCCTCGTACGCTGTACACTTCGGCAGTCCGATCGCTCCAACTCCCGCGCGGTAGGGAGGTTACTCGGAGGTCATTCGCAAGGGCTCTAGTCCTCGACCACGGATGAAACACAACCTCTTCTCTAGGTACCCGCTACGGGTCTCGCTACTAAGCCACTGCGAGTCCTTACCCATGCAGCTGGGCTTGAACTGGATCGAAATTTCGCTGTCCCGCAGTTCAGATGGTTATGCATCTCCCCGGTCCGTACATATAAATATAAAGGACAGGATCTGGTACCCTAACCCACGTGTGCCTCTGATGCAGCACCCGCCGTCCGAGATCAGCTCGCAACCCAACAACTCCCTTAACGCATCTCGAGAGACTGTGTAGGCGTAGTCTTGGCATCCTCGCATGCTGTACACTTCCTTGGTCTTATCGTCTAAATGCATGCAAAGGCGATCATGGTCGCCAGGAAACCCGTGCAGCTTGTGCTTTAGAGAGTGTTACGCTCTCAAGGCTACATCATTATTTTCTCCTAGGAGCACCCGCTGCACAGTCTCAGGAACTGGATTGAGAAAAAAGAGAATTTTTCAAGATGCGCTTGCCCTCACACGTATCCCACCCCCTCGTTCAATGTGATCTGATCTACTGATCCACCTCTTCTGGGGTATGTCTTCATCGAGATCCTCCAAGAGGCAACCAACCCGCCAAGCTCCGAGCAGTCCCCGAAGCCTCGCAGGCTCGCCATTTCAGGATACGCCCGCTCCACCTCGGAGACCAACCGCCCCTTCTGACTTTTCTCCGCCCCCTACACCTCTTGCAATTTCTTCGAACAAGAATCCTATTAGGGGCACCTCGTAGATGATGAGAACGACACTAGACATACCCCTCTTCTGCGGCTTACTGCAATAACATATCGTCCAAGAGGCACTAACATTGTGCCAGCTCCTGGCTCAGTTGTTCCCAGGGCTTCGCAAGCTCAACCTTTTTAGGTTACACTCGTTCTACCCCGAAACAACCGCCCCAATTGTATTTGCTACGTCTTTTCTCCATCGAACGAGCAGGCTGCGGTCTTCTTTTTGTTCAGTCTCCTAAGAGAACCTAATAGTGGCGCCACGAGTAGGCAAAATGCCGCTGGAACAGGATAGGCTATAAGTTGCACATCACCGTTTCCATCCACTACCCCGTACGTATTACAGGGACTCCCGTCAACGTAGCCTAAGCGTCCATGTATATAGATAGTCTTTCGATGGCAATATAATATCTACATCTACTTGCAAGTTGCGTATAGCAGCTGGAGTATCTACTCGTTTTTAAAAAGGAGATACCACACTTTTCGGGTCAGTTAAAATTGCTACTTTGGAAATGTTTACTTTATGTTTAATAATTTTACAGTAATTCAGTAATATATCAGGGTCATTTAATTGTTCAAACAGAGGACAAAAAGGAGCAATGGCTCGCTTGGTTACCGTTTTTCTCAAATCCAAGCAATAAAAACTTTTCAAATCTATATTTCTTGTTCATGGGGGTTGATAGACGATGTTTTCGTTGAGAAGTTCGTTTGTTACAAATGATGAGTTGCCAAAAGCTTAAGGGAAGGTGAGTTGCAGGTTTATCAAGGCGCCCGAACACTTGATTCTCAAATTAAAAAAAAAAAATCAATTCATTTAATTCAATATAGTCAAAAATATATCTTTGTTTGAATAACTATGAACCAAATGAAAAAAGAAAATATTTTCTGATCAAACATGAACTCTTGATTCAAAATTTTCAAAAATTATTTGAACCACTTATCGTAGTCGGAAACTCTTGCGACTATTTATGGCAATAAATATTTGATAAATAATAAAATAATTAATATTAAAAAAAAGATTTTTTTTCGCGTTGAAGTTTCGAGTTTTTCTACCCCCTAGAACAAAATATTTCCCCGTGAACATAAGTTCGTGTGTACATCGTCCATTTTTGCCTGTGCGATTGAAACGAAATGGTTAGTTTAACAATAGGAATTACTGTTTAACAGAATCTAATAAGTAGAATATACTAGGTCACGCAAGGTACAAAGTTCGCCTTATCAACCACAATAATATGGAAATTAGGCTTTTGACGCCTAGACACCCCGCAATCGTCTTTATTATGTTCATTTAAAAAAGAACAATCTTTGAGTTTGTTACCCGTTTTTTTCACCCGTGGAAAATCAAAAGTGATACGACTCTATATTGAAAAAAATTGAACCCGTCAGTCGAAATGTCCTAGGGAAAGGTACTCACCTAGGGTTTCATACGTGTCCCATTACAGAATACTTTCGTATTCCGGAGATTTCATTATTTAAAAGTCATCCTGGGCTGTGAAAAAAAGTCCTCTCAACTTACCAATTTTAATTGGATTCTGAAAGGATAAAAATGTTCGGGTGCCATTTTATTCCTTTCTAATTTACGCTGTTCCATCTCAGGAACGTTAAGTATAAAGTTAAATATATACAGGGTGTCAACTTACTAATACATGTATACTTCAATATATTAAATTTAACTTAACTACCGAAACTAAAGTTCAATTTGGAATGCGTATGTATGCTATTGTGATAAACAAATATAAATTCTATACGAAAAATCATTTTGGAATTGAAACAATGGCGAATAACACCTTTTAACAACAATAAAATTATTGAAATAGGTGAGATGGAGCTTTTATGTAAAACATCTCGATTAATTTTTTTTAAAGTTGAATAGTTTTTGAAAAAATCAAGGGTGGTTTCCCAATATTCACAGATAGATGAAATCCTTTAGTATTTTTAAAATTTAGTTTATTTTAGCTAACTTTATTTTTTA